CCGTGCTCAGCGTTTGTAGGCCTCCCGCCGGCGGCGGCGAGGCTCCGTAAGCTACAGCCGCTGCATCCGGGCCTGCAGGCTGCACCGCAGTGGCCCCGGGTTGGCCCGTGTCCGCCGGCGGCGGCAACACGGCGTCACCAGCGGCTTCGTTTCCATGGCTGGTCCGCGTGGGAAGGCTTCCCGTCAGCAACGGCGAAGCTCCGTGGGCGTCAGCCGGCTCTGTAGGCTGCGCCGCGGTACATCCAGCTCGGTCCGTGTCCGCCTGCGGCGGTGACACGCCGGGGGCTGCCTCCATGGTCTGTGCTGGCCAGCCTCCCGCCGGCGGCGGGCAGGCTCCGCGCGCGCCAGCCGGCTCGGTGGGCTGCGCCGCGGTACGGCCGGCTCCTCGGCCCGTGTCTGCCGGCGGCACCGACACGGCGGCGCCGGTGGCAACCGATTGGCCTCCCGCCGGCGGCGGCGAGGCTCCGTACACTCCGTCCGTGCTGCACGTTGGAATGCCTCCCGCCGGCGGCGGCGAGGCTCCGTAGGCGCCCGTAGCTCCGTCCGGCTCTGTGGGCTGCTCCGCAGCACATCCGATTCGGCCCGTGTCCGCCGGCGGCGGTGACACGGCGTTGTCCGGGGCTTCATTGCTGTCCGTTGTCTGCGTTGGCCAGCCCCCCGCCGGCGGCGGCGAGGCTCCGTGGACGTCAGCAGCGTCACTCAGCTCCGTGGGCTGCAGCGCAGTGTGCCCGGCTGGGCCCGTGTCCGCCGGCGGCGGTGACACGGCGGTGCCGGCGGCTACCGCTACTAGCGCCACCCCCGGAGAGTCTCGTACTCTCGTCACTGCAGATGTCGCCACTGGACGATCTGCCGTGGGGTTGGCCCTCTGGTGGCACACCACCTCAAAATGTCCTGGTTCGCCACACGCACGACAGATGGCGCCAGCGGCGCGACACGTGTCTCCGCCGGCGTGCTGGCGACGGCCACAGGTAGGGCAACGGTCAAGAAACTGACGATTGGTGGCGGCGGCGGCATGGGCGACACTCGGCCGACTGCGGTCCCTCTTGTAGGCCGACAGGTGGGCCACGAAATGTCCCTTGGTGCCGCGGAGGTCTTGGCACGTGACATGGGCACTCCACGTTTCCCCCACTGTCACGGCGTGTCTGAGCGTCGACTCAGAGTCCTCCAGCCTGCTCACCGCTCCTGTCTCACTGTCGCGCACACTGCACTCGACACGGGCTCTGCACGTCGAGGCCGACTTCAGGTGCGGGGCCGGGGTCGCCGACGCCGGCAGGCAGACAGTCCGGCGGGCGGCGGCAGCTGGTCCAACGGATCCCTCAGCGCCTCGCTCAGCCCCCGACTCTGACACTCCGGCCGTCGTGCCCGTCCCGGTCCCCGCGGAGGGCTCTCTGTACAGCAGCCTCTCCAAACGCTCCAGGCGCTTGTCGGCCTCGGCGGCTCTCTCCGCCTGCCTCTCCAGCAGCGCCGTCAGTTCCTGAATCAAAGTTTTCTTCATCGCGCTGTAAGCTGCTCAGTCACGTAATTACAAAACCGACCGCGCCATGTTATGTTTTGGTTCGTTTGAGTGAAAGAGCACACAATCAATGAAAAACGCGATTTATTTACTGCGATACGTTCAGGCCGAAAGAGTGTCCAAAAAGTAAACAAGTATCGCGAGCGCCGCCCCTAGTCACTCGCGCCAGATCTGCCGCTCGGCGCGCACAGTCAGCTGGCGGCGGCAGAGGCGCTCACAGGCACGGAGCCGGGGCGGCCAGCGGTGGCGGCGGCAGGGGCGCGCGCAGGCGCGGCCAGCAGCCGTGCGGGGGTTGGACCATAATACAACATCCCGGACCATTAACAGGGACCAGCGGCGGACCAGCGGTGACCCGAGGGTCACCTGAAGTGATAGAGGGTATGAGCCGCGAGCTGCTAATGCTCTCGTCGAAGGATCAAACGGGAACGTTCACCGGCACAGTCGCATCAAAGGAGAGACATGACTGTGAGCAGCTGAACACAGCAGTGCAGCGGCATCGAACCATTCTTACCACGAACATCGACAGGCGTGTGTTCGCGGAATGAGCCCGAGAACAGCCGGGGACCGAACAGCTGACTGAAGCGGAACACTTGAGAAAACCAATGCGGTGAACTGAAAACAAGATCGGCAGTTGTGTTCAGGCCCTCGTCAGCAGAGACCCGCAGGCTGCTCAGTTCCTCCAGTGAGGTGGAAGAGAGGACTGATTGTCGGTCTCAGTGTAACCAGAGCCGGCTTATGTTGGTCCGGTATGGGTACTGATCTGGCAGTACTGCAGCTGTTTTGCATGACAAATGTACTGTGCTCACATTCCCTTCCTTTCTTTTGCATCTATGACGTCAGTTCAGCGAAAGTCATTGCAACGAGCGAATCTTGCTCAAACACATCTGCATCTGCATCTTTGAGCCTTTACCAGTGACTTAGATTGGGTGCGTGCAACTGAGCGCCCTTGAGCCCCAACGATCGCCAGACGCCAACAAACAAATTCGCACTTTTATTTGTTGGAGTGAAGTACGGATTTGCATGTTGACAGATAATTGTACCACTCCCAATTTTCAGCGTGCAGAAATACTCGGTAATTTATCATCGTCCTTTCCGAGTATAATGTACCATTTAATAATATACCTTGTAATCCAAACGGATCGACAAATTTGGACAAGACGGAGTTGCCACAAATATCTACACCGATAATAATCCAGCAATTCGTGCCAGAATCCAGCACCGTCTGAATGGGTGTCGCCACAAGGCGTTACAGTTATTGTATCCAGACTGTTGTACTCAAAGACATCCCACCACCCTGTTCTGGTGCAACTGAGAGTAAACACAGCAGTGGTTCAGGAGTAGACTCGTTGTCCATCTGGGCGGGTAAGCGGGTTCGACAGATTTCAGACACTGCTAGCGTGGGTTGTGCAATAGAAGCAAGACCTGTCGCGTTCCACAGCAGCTGTTTACTCAGTGGACATAACACAGGTCACATCGGGTCACCAGGAAAACATACCTTCTAGACTTAGCCTCGATTTATGTAGACTCAGTCTTCATTTCAGCCTTCGGCTTCTCACATAGTATCTTAGTGAAGGTGACTCCTCCCTTTCACAACACAAAGTTACGAGTACGTTCCGGTCCGCGCTTTATACGCACGGTATATTGGAGACAATCCTTTCGGTGTTGGTTCGGCTCGAAAGGCTCTGCTCCAGAGTTTGGTCCGGGCGAAACTGGTCCGGGTAAGTTTGGTCCGAATGAATTTGGTACGGGTGAGTTTGATCCGGGTAACTTTGGTCGGCGTTAGTTTGGTCTGGGTAAGTTTGGTCCGGTTGAGTTTGGTCCGGATGAATTTAGTCCCAGTGAGTTTGGTCCGGGCTATCCTGGTCGGTCATATATCGATCGATTGAGCCACGCGGTGGCGGTGCCGTTCACTGAACGGAACAAGACCGACATATGGTGCTTACAGGCAGAGCCGGTTAGCCTGCGGTGCGAGCTCCACAAACGTTATTTGAGGTGTTTTTCGAGTGTGCATTGTGCATAACCGTTAGGCTAGCCATCAAAATGTCAAGGCATTTGAAAGAAACAAGACTGATGGCAGACTAAAACTAACTGAATATGCACGAGCAGCAATCAAGAACCACATCAAATAACTAACCAGCACACTACCAAACCACGCACGCCACTGCTGGCTATGTTCTGGTTACTCCTTAGTTTCACAAACGGCCTGTCCTTTGGCAATCAGGGACACCCACCGTCCCAAACACACACCGCAGTCCGCAATTGTGCAGTCGGCCAGACAATGAGCTGAACCCATCGACACCCGAACCAGGTAACCCAAACCAGCTGATGGAGGAAAACCACCACAACCTTGTCCGAGCGTCTGAGCTAGGCCACCAGCCATTTGATCACCCCGGAGTGACATTTTCCGGTCTGAAGGAAAACTGATCTCCTTCCCAGCCAAGTCGAAGATGGCGAAGCTAGTGAGTTATATAGCAGTTAATTCGCTGCTGCTAGCTGAAGATACCATTTATATAAAGTCAATGATTATTTCATCAGCTATGGTTGTACACAGTAAAGCGACCAAGTGGGGTCGATTTCGTGAGGTATTCCCAGCACAGCTCGCCGAAAGTTCTGAGCCCGGTCAGTCCACTGCGCGCTGTCAGCTGTCGCTCAGCTGATCGACCTCCCACACGCGGTGGTCGCCGTGCTAAAGCCCCACGACCGGTCGGCGCCCGCCCAGCCGTCGCCATATGGTCGGGTCGACGTGGCCGCCGGCAGTAGGGCGGGGTCGGTACCCCCTCCCCCCCCCCCCCCCGACCACCGACGTGTCCCGACCCGGCCGATACCTGCCCGGCTATCGAAACATTACCGTTTGAGCAGGTGTAGCAGCTATACCATGTCCCGTTCGACTAAATAGATAAAGAAGCTAGCGTGGCAGTCGCGCCTCTGTCGTCGCCAGCTAGCATAACACCAAATGGTCTCCATACTAGGCAAACACACAACGCATCCGACCCATCTAGGGACCGCAGCTCTGCCAGTGTTGTTAGAGTTACAACGGGGGAGTTACATAAACCAGCCGCCTTGACCGAGCCCAAACGAATGGTCTCTCTCACCTATCTACCACCCCAGTTTGTCACTACGCGTGACTCGTGGGTCACGTTCGAACAGTGCCCATATTCCGTAAGTCACATGTCTAGTCATTGTCCCATCGCCCAAAGCTCACCATCTGTGAGAAAATTCGATACCGCTAAGGTCTGATAGACTCCGAGACTCCGTGGGACAGTTAGTCTCACCGTCTAGCCGCCGAAGCATAGGTCTCTGATAGTCTAAAAATGTGCCAAATGTCGGTGTTGTAGGCTATCATTAGCATTTGCGAAGCCCAAAACATATCAATTTTACAATCATCCCTCCTCGATTGCCCCAGTTTAGCACTGACACATCAGCACTGTGACAGCAGACAGCCGTCACTGTGACGGTCTGTCAACCGCCAACCGACAGCGATATTTACCGGAGTGGGCAGCAGAAACTGGACGGGCCGGATGACGGGTCCATGGCGCAGCCTCTGCGGCGCCTTGGTCGTCATCCCGGGTCAGCTGGCCATAGCACGCAGCGCGCGGCTCCAACCGGGCTCGGCGGGGCACCAGCGGGCGCTACTTGGTCACACACTGCACGGGGGTGGAGCACAGACCGATCACAGCTGCTTCACGGCGACCACCGCGCTCGGGTCGGACTCGCTCTTCGCCCGGGCTAGATCACCTGATCACGAGCGGTCACGGCCTCGGATCACCACACTGCACAAGGTCGCGCAACACGTGAAAGTGGCTGGCTGGAGTCGCTCGACTCGCGGCGGCCGACAGTCGGTCGGTCTGCTCTCACTTTCGCCGATCGAGTCGGGAGCGGGCGACTGCGCCGGTCAGAGGCCGGCCGGTGTGCGCGCGGCGGCGGCACCAGCACAACTGACGGCCGCCGGGACCGGCGAGCCGTCGGACGGCGGCCGGCCGACCGTTCAGACAGCTCGCCGGCCACCAAGGCCGCCCACTGACCCGCCGGCCGGCCGCCGCAGCCGTCCCTGTGACGCCCGGCTCGCGCACAGGTGACACGGCCACGTGACGGCGGTCATATACAGGTGACACGGTCACGTGAGCGGACACACACACCCGGTCAGCTGTGTGCCACGTCCAGTCACGGCAGTTCGACAAATGTCAGCCGGGCTGTGTCAGTGACACGTCCGCTGTGTCAGTGACATGTCCGCCGTGTCAACGTGTCACGAGCGACGGCCGTGTGACGGCTGGCACAGTTGCACCGGCCGGCAGTGGAGAGCAGAGTGGAACAAATTACCCACGCCGTGGAAATATCGTACAACAGAAGCCTGATTTTGAATGAAATCAACGAAATATGGTGGAAAATCACTTGGCTGGTATGACTTCAGTCTTCAACTGACACTTAAGCGTATTTCATCAGAAAGCGAATACAGGATCTCCCAAATTCTTGAAGCTTTGGCTGGTATGATAAATTGGCTGGATGATTTTTAGTCTTGAAAACTGTAAAGACTGGGCAACAGGCTCAGAGTCGCTGGCGGAAAGAAAACTGTCATAGTACTGGACCAGTCCATTAGGAAGCACATCACGAACCAATTAATGGACAATCGTGATCGATTCGTTTCATTGTATAGTAGCACATGATGGGCAGTTTCTGTAGAAAGGACATTAGCCAATGAAGGGTAAACATTGTCACAAGGCTCTTTCAATGCCATTGATCATATGTATATTGTGTTTGTTAGCGAGCAAATAGGCATTTTAGATACCTTCGCAAAGACGGCCGGCGCTCGGAGCGCGGCGGTCGGTCCGCCGCGCCACGCCGCTCACATGTGTGTCATCTGGCCCCTGTCCTGGTTCTCATGCCCACGTGTTGTGCGTACCACGAGGGCTGAGACGGGACGGGGGCCTGACAGTCTTCGACGGGACTCCACCGGTGCGCGACGGCCCGGTGCACGACGTGGCCGACGTGGCCTTACGTACGACGCGGCCGACGTGGCCCTACGAGAACGATTCAGTGAACCGCATTTGTGACCGCCGTATTTTGTGCATTTTAATCGTTTCCGTTTCATTCAAGAATAGACTTTTACTTATATGAACAATAACTTTATGGTCCTCCGGGTGACGAAAGAGAACGAGTGAACGATCACGAGCACGCACGAACATTTCCGTATTGAACGAGTGAACTGTACGACTCTCGCGAACATTCTGGTCCTCCGGGCCGGATATCAGTGAACTAGTGTGATGGATTTACAGTGACGACGCGGTGTTGTGAACTGTGAGTACGATGTCTGACAAACGGTCACGACACGACAGTGATGCAAAATCGCATGAAGGTCGCCGGAGTTCGTATCACACGAGGAGTGAGGCGAGCTTCAGTACGGCGTCCTCCGGCCTCAGTGAAGCCCGCCGCCGAGCCGCGCTAAGCAAGCTCCAGGCGGAACAGGCCCAGCGCGCCGCCGCCGCCAAGGCTGAGCTGGCCCGGCGTCAGGCGGAGGCGCAGGCGGAGCAAGCCCGACAACAGGCAGAGCAGTCCCGGCGGCAGGCGGAGCAGGCGGAGGCGCAGGCAGCGCTGCAAGCTCAAGCGGCGAAGGATGAAGCTGAATACCGTCAGCTGGAGCTGGAGCTGCTGGAGCAGGAGGAGCGGGGTTCGCAGCACCCTCGTTCTTCCGCTGCACCATCCGTCGCCAGCCTACCGGTGGTTGCAACTGAGCCACCGGCACCGGTGGACGTGTCTCGACAGACGGACGAGTCAGTCACGCGCACCCGACAGTGGCTGGCTCAGTCTCAGCTGCATGTGCCGCCAGTGGATACGGCTCCTGTCGGCACCCTGCCTCCACCTGCGGTGCGGCTGCAGCACCCGTCCCGTGACGATACCAGAGCGGTCCCACATCTGCCGCGCATCACGCTGGAGAAGTTCGGCGGCTCTGCCATCGAGTGGCCGCGGTGGATAGCCCTCTTCAAAGCGCTGGTACACGACCGCGCCGACCTCACCGACGTAGAACGGCTGACCTATCTGCAGACTCACCTGACGGGGCCGGCGAGAGAGTCTGTGCGCGGCATGCTCTGCGACGCCAGTCTCTACAGCACCGCCCTGGGTGAGCTGGAACGAGAGTTTGGTGACCCGTCCCGTGTGATACACGCCACGATGAAAAGACTCCTCACAGCGCGGCCGGTGAAAGATGGCGACCTGTCAGCGCTGACAGAGCTGTCTCGTGAGCTCCACACCGCGGTGAGCGTCCTACAGTGTTTGCACTACGAGCACGACCTTGCCGCCGCCACGAACGTCACCACTGTGACTGGGAAGCTACCAGCCTCCCTCGCCTGGAGGTGGGGCGAGCACATGGTGGAAAACGGCATCACTCGTCCGACGCTCGTGGATCTCGACGAATGGCTTCGCCGTCATGTGTCAGCTGGTCGGTTGGCCTTGAACGTGACCACCAAGCAGCTGCCGAAGGTCGAGGCTAATGACGCTGAGTGCCGCCCGAGACGCGTGTTTACCACCACGTCGGCGCGGCCCACGCCGGCGGCTGTAAAGCGGGAGAGGACAGCTGCCATAAAGTCATCAGCGGACGGACACAGTGACTGGTGTGCCATGTGTCAGCAAACACACGAGCTCCAGCACTGTGACGAATTTCTCGCGCTGACTGTGAGTGAGAAGGCAGAGTTCGTCGGCAGAAACGGACTGTGCTTTAACTGCCTGGGTCGCGATCACATCAGCGCCACGTGTCCCATTGATGCACGATGTGACGCGGAGCACTGCGGCAGGCGTCATCACACGCTGTTACACAATGGAGGACGAGTGTTTCCGCTGCGCGATTCCGATGATGGTACGCCGTCATCTGCCAAACATGTCGGCACCGCATCGGCCGAGCCTCGCAGTGATATTCTCCTGCAGGTGGTGCCCATCACCGTAAATGGGCCGGCAGGTAGCCGCACCACGAACGCACTCTTCGACCTGGGCAGTCAGGTCACACTGATCACCGACGACCTGTGTGACCGGCTCGGCATCTCAGGGCCCACCGACAAATTGGTGCTGAGTACGCTGAGTGGGACCCAAACGACGACGTCACGACGCGTATCCTTCGCCGTCGAGGCTGTGGGCGGCGACGGCAGGGCACACCGTATACGAAACGCCCAAACGACGCCGACGTTAAACGTGTCAGCCAAGGCCATGGACTGCACAGTAGCAAAGGAGAAATGGCCGCACCTTGCCGACCTGGATCTCCCCAGCGCCACCCACAGCCCAGTGGAGGTGCTCCTGGGAACCGACGTCATCGAACTTATTGTGCCGCGGGAAGTGATCGAGGGACCGACGGGAACGCTGTGCGCTGTAAGGACGCTGTTGGGATGGACGGTGACTGGGCGGGCGTCGGAACGCTCGGTGCTCGATGGTGAACACGTTGTCAATCACGTTCGTGTCAGTGATAAAACGAGTGCAGTCGCTGACCTCCACACCCAGGAATCATCAGAGACGACCCAGTGGTGTCACGCAGCCGAGCCGCCGGGCCCGGCCGACATCTTCAGCAGAGGCGGCCCGGGGACGGACCTCGCCCCCGGCGGACCGTGGATACGAGGTCCAGCTGCGCGGTCCGGCCCGGCCGCCCTCTCCGACGACGAGACGAGGGTGACAGCGTGCGTCACCGAGCGAGCGGAGCCGGTCGTAAACGGCAGTGACTTCTCGTCCTGCCTCATGGACTCCGGCGGCCTGCTCAGAGTCGGTGGCCGTCGCTGGAAGCGGAAGAACACGCAGCCGCATGATCGCTCCTGGCGACGCCGGCGGCGAGAGTGTCTCCCCGCGCACGCTGACCGCGCAGTGTATGTCGATCATGGACACGACCGAGGTCAGGGTCGACGAACCAGTGCGGCTGACCGACGGAGACGTACCGCGTGGGCACCGGCCGATGGGACGAGCAGAGTGTATGACCCCGGTGTAGGCGGTCGTATCCGCGCCGTGGATGCGACGATTGCCACCGGCCAATACAGGCGGCCTGTCAACCGCCTCTGCCGCCTCGAGTGCGACGGTGACGGACAGTATTGATGGGATAATATGCGCGCGCGTGGGACGACTGAAGTGAGTCGTTTACGACCCTGCCGTGCCGCCGGCGAGCAGTGTCGAGATCTGGACATCTATTAGTGTTTCCTGCCCTCGTCATTCGCGGTGTAAGCGTGTCTGTGTGTGTGTGCGTGTGAGAGTGAGCCGCTCACTCTGTCCGCGGTCAATGGTCATTTGTGTTTAGTGTTCAGCCATTAGCTATCAACTGTGAGCCGTGTGACGATGCTACGCGTTCACTGTGACAGTGTCCCTCCCGGCCCACTTGGCCGGTCGGTCTACGAATGAGCTAGTTTACGACCTTAGAGTGCGCAGTGTTAGATTAGTCTATGGTACCACGCCCATGTTAGCGCTAGTTTCTGTTCGCGTCCGCTCCGTTCGGTAATGCAATGTGTGTTATGTGTTGTACGCTGGGTGCTGGGTGTTTGTGTGTCGGCAATGTGACGGCATTGTCACTGCCGCCAATGCCTCTCGGCCCAGCGCGTGTAGTTTACGACATGCGTCAGTGTGTGACGGCACCCGGCTGCCGAGACCGCGCCGTCACCAGTTTTATGACTGGGTGATTGTTGGCGGGGATAATGCCTGCCTCAGTCAGACATTGTGTAGTGCGTAATGTGCATTGTATGTGAGTGTATGTATATCGCGCATGTTGAACGGATCGTTACGAGTGTGTGCGTGCGTACGGGACGCTTGAACGATTGCTCGCTAGTTGTTGGATTTTCCGCGGATGATCGCGAAAAACCGGGCCGGCTATGTTAGCGAGCAAATAGGCATTTTAGATACCTTCGCAAAGACGGCCGGCGCTCGGAGCGCGGCGGTCGGTCCGCCGCGCCACGCCGCTCACATGTGTGTCATCTGGCCCCTGTCCTGGTTCTCATGCCCACGTGTTGTGCGTACCACGAGGGCTGAGACGGGACGGGGGCCTGACAGTCTTCGACGGGACTCCACCGGTGCGCGACGGCCCGGTGCACGACGTGGCCGACGTGGCCTTACGTACGACGCGGCCGACGTGGCCCTACGAGAACGATTCAGTGAACCGCATTTGTGACCGCCGTATTTTGTGCATTTTAATCGTTTCCGT